AATAGCTGGTCGCTCTACAAGTAGCACAAAAATTTTCGAACACAAAAAAAAATGTTGAGCAAATTGTGATATTTTTGTTTGTTCGGCTATGAGCGGATCTAAAAAAAACCCTAGAAAAAATGTAAATTTGATAGTATGAACAGAATAGGCATATTTGACAACAATTTTTATCGATAAAAAAATCTGACAACAAAAAAAAATACATCTAAAAATATGTTTTTTTCCTTCAAATTTTTCCTGACTTGTTTTCGCCGATCTTTTTGAGTAAAAAAGGCACTAAAAGAAACTCCGAAAGCAAAAAAAGTCCTGGTGTAAATATTGGTTCCTTACAGTAAGCCTATTATAACATTTTTTGTTTTAAAAGTCTGTTTGCTCGCTTTTTTGCTCAAAACTACACCTAAAATAAAAAATTCCTACTTTTTTGACACTGAAATATTTATTTTTTGACACAACTGAAATGATTTCAGTTTTATAGCCCATTTGATTTGATCCAGTGACTCTTTGTGGTGCCTGATTTTGCGCCGAAAGCCACTAAAATTACTCACATACAAAGTTTCTCCCAAATTGCAACGGTCCAAACAATAACTTAAGTTTGCTTTTCAAAGTTTTCTGGGTTGAACACTTTGAACAACAATGACTTAAGTTCCAGTAAGCAATCATTGACTTTATTAATGAGAGATAGGTCATTTTTTTGAATTAACAAAATTTAGGACTACAGTTCAAGTTTTTTTGGATTTTTAGGCGATGAACTGTCGCTAATCTATTTTTAAAGCAACTTTTTTTTTTAAATTGGAAAAAATTTTAATCAGTTGAACAAATGAATTCAACAGTAAATTCTATGCAAAACACTATTTTATGAACATTTTGTGCTCTGAATCTGAAAAAAATTCGTTAACTATCCAAAAAAAAAGCTCAGTTTGAGTTCAAAAGTGAGAGCATTATTTGAAAATGACCGCAAGGAACTCCAAATTATTGCAAGTTATGCTCAGTGAAAGTGGATCTTTGCCTGATGTTTCAGAACATTCGACAAAATTCCAAAATTTTCATGCAAAATAAATTACCTTAATAACCGAATCACACCAGTTGTAAACGCATTAGACTTAGACAATAGATGACACTTTTTTTCGAAACTTCAATCTGGAAGACCAACATGATTCGATAACATCAACAGCAAGGTACCTAAAATCACTATGATTTTTCGAACAAATGTTTTAGTTTTAGATTTGCTTACGTAAAAACATAAAACATACATGCTAAATGAAGCTTCGCGAAAAAAAAATTAATAGATTTTGGAAGTCGTTAGTAGTTACTTGACTGAACTGAAAATATAAGATAAATTACATTGCATGTAGTGATCTGAACGTGATTTATTACAAAACAAACACAGTAAAATTAAGTGTGATCTATCTTCAGTTGATTTTAAGTTCTGATTAAAAAATTTTTTTTGAAGCCATCCTAAACGATAAGATGAAACGAGTAAGACAGCCACTTGTAGTTGCTTTTGTAGCCAAAGGCATAGTCTAAAAGTTAATGAATACTACTGACTCATCAGAACTTAGAACAGTTGTTTTTGACACCTCAGCCTCTTTAGGACAAAATCAAAAGAAATACAAAGAGTAGAGTAGAGAAAACTTTTAAAACAAAAGTAAGCTCCTCAAAGTTATTGGTTTGGAAATAATTACAAAAGGTAATTTTTGTATAACATGAAAATTGAAAGTGCTGTAGACTTTTTTAATTAAATCAGCATGAAATTAATTAATTTGTTTGTTCCGAAAAAAAAAGAAAAATAAATGATGCTCTCAATTGGATAAATCAAGTCTTAAGTTGTATTTAGAAAAAAAAGCAGTTTAAATGCATCCGTTTTCTCCAATAAAATGATAAATTTATTTGTAACAGTTCGGCCAAAGCTGACTAAAAAGATTAAAAACAACCCTTATTTAAACATTAAAACATGTTTTAAAAATGTTGTAGGATATTCAAAAATAGAAGATCAAAGAACCCTTATTTTGAGATTTAAACATATTCAAAAAAATAAAGAGATAAATTTGATTTTTCCAATTCTCTGCCGAAATAAAATGATTGCTTTTAGCTCCTATATTTTTTTTTAGCTTTTTTATACCAAAACAGTTCCCAGCTTCCCTGAAATTAGCAAAATATACCATTTTTCAGACTTAGTTCTCGTGGAGAACCCTCAAGTTATCGACCAATTTCACAATTATAGACAGCGGCAAATTTTGAAAAAAAAATGCATAAACCTATTCTGGCTTTTTTCAAAGCCGAGAATAGTGTACTCAGGTCAATTTGGTTTTGAAAATCAGCACAGTATACAAAACAAGCTCTTTAAAAGTTAACTTTAAAACCTAAAATCATGAGTCTCGAATACCTAAAAAGCGCATTAACCCTGAAAATTGGCGAATAATTGATTGAGCTCAGCTAAAGTTTGTTTATGTCAACTGATTTATATGTATTTTTTGGAAGCATAATGAAAAAATCAAACAAATGAATTTCGAAGTCAGTATCTACGTTTTTTCTTTTAGGATTTTTTTCAAATGAAAAACAGCTCATTGTGATATCCTATGCGGTATCGTGTAAAAACTAGTTGTAATTCAATAATGTATTCTGATATATTGAATTTTGTTTTCTCTTTTCTGTCTTTTGATTAGTTACTGAGAGATAAATCAGAATTGAAAACTCTGAACTCTCAACTGAGTTTCAATGTCTCAACACACTGTCACCTTGTGTACATCATAAAGTTAATAACTATATCACCGCAGGTTGGTAGTACATAAATCAATTACTGCTATTGCAGAAGCAGAATGACACACCCCCATCGGCAAGAAATAAATTATTCAATATATATGGAATAATTTATGTTAAAAAGAGTTTAATACACTCAATTCACAAAGATTTTGGTTTTTGTAAGATTAGTTCATGATCTTCTATTTTAATTTTCTTCCAGCTCTTTTTTGCAGCTCGGATTCCAGTCCAATCCTTTATCCAGCGTTGCATAGCCGAATTTTCGCCTGAATAAGTGTCGCTCTAACATTCTCAATTTCGTCTCTACGGGCCTATCACTTCGTTCCTTGAAGTCCCTTAGCCTTCTACGGTATTCTTGAAGTGCGGTCTTGAGTAGCGCCACCCCTGTCAAATCCTCTGAGATCTCTTTAGTGGAGTGTTTTATCGGATCACCAAAACGTTTTGGCTCTTTATTTTTTGTCTGTCTGGAGCTCCGTCTGACTCCCGACTCCTCCGCACTTGACTCGTCGGAGACTCCTTGAGGAGGCTCAAATGCTGTATCTCTTTCCGATACTGGTTGAGAATTTCCTCTGATATCGCCCGCGACTCTTTGGACCCCCCGTTTTAACAATTGGTCCGCGAAATTTTCCCATTCAGCGGGTGCCAAGTTCCGATTTTGAAATGTATCCAATATGTCCTCCGGAGATGTTTGAGAATCAATAAATTTCAATTTGGTCTTCTGTTTGCTTTTTGGAGTAGAGCTCGAATGAGTGTCATGAACCAACGTCCCCAAATTTGATGTCGATTGTTCCTGATCCTGATCAGTTGCTATCGCAGTTTGGCCTGTAAGGTTGTTTTGTTTACTTTGAGTTCTCTTTTCCTTTGCTTTCTTATCCGTTTTCTTCCTGGCACTCTCGTCCGGCGATTTTTGACCTGCCGGCAAACTTGGACCAGCCATGTTTGGTTTCGCTCTCTTAATAGCTAAGTTGAGGCCCCCTCCTGCGTTCGTATCCTTTGAAGTTGTGACTGTTTGACTCTGTTGGAATCGGTCTACCGGGTTCACCGAATCAGCAATCTCCATATCTCGTTGTAACTCCTCGTCTGAACCGATGTCCTCGA